ACACACGGGTTAGGCAGTCTTCATCTCTAGTCGCACCTCCGAGTCCCGCAAATTTTTCTGTTTCAGGAAAAGGACCAAGTTAAGAGGAAAAACAAGTGCTCGAGGCTTCATACTTCACTGCTCAAACACTTGGGGGACTGTATAATAAACACAGAACAGATACGTGCGGAAAATAGATGCGTAAATCAAGAGACAAGTGTCGAGCAGAACAGATACGTGCGGAAAATGTACTTTAATACATAAAAGCTTGTTCAAGTTCATGAATAAAAACTTGTCAAAGTTGTGGCATACAAAACATGTGTATTCCTATTTCTTTCATCGTATTATAACACCATTATGAAGTTGAGACGTCTTCTTCATTAAGTGCCGATATATGAAAAGGGCCCTGTTTTATAAACCTCATGTTAATAACTCATGAGAAGAATCATAAAGCAATTTCAAAGGATAAAAATGCTAAACTATTCTATAAGTCCTAAATAGATAAGAAAAAGGCAAGAATAGAACATATTGAAGTACCAAGAAAACTTCTTAAAAAAGACTAAGTAAAACTTAGTCAAGCAAAATATTTTTACGAGTGCCCCATTATGATAACTGGGGACTTAACCAAAAAATCCCTTAAAAAGGTCAAGGGATAAAACCACCAATTAATAAAAAATAAAAAAACAAAGGAGTAAAATATTCAACTTGTCACTAAAGGGGTTGGAACTTCTGAAGTTGCAATGTCAACTTCACTTTCAGAAGCAGCTGTAGGCACGGTAGCAATTTTTGAGGAAGTAGCGGCAGTTGGGCTTGAAGTGTTAAAGTCACCGAGGGAAGCAAGAGTCACGGGAGCTTCAGCTTCCACGGACTGTATCAGTGAAGTTTCACCCTCAGGAGCTGGAATTGTAACATTTTCAACTTCAACAGAAGCGGCTCCTTCATGTAAAGGTTCCTCAGCCACGGGAGTTTCATCTGCCGGAGAAGGAAAGTCAAGTGGTTGTTGAGTCATTTCAATGGTTCTCAAAACCTTGGCCAATTCCGATTCTAAATCAAAGTTTTCTTGACTGGCCTCAGTTAAGGCATCACGGCGGGAGTTTAGAAAGGCCAAGCTCACCTCTGTGTTAAAGTTCTCCTCAAGAAGCTCATAATCCCTTTCCCACGAGGCAAGATCATTTTTTAACATTTGATTTTCAGCCAAAGTGGAATCAAGGGTAGCTTCAAGGGAGGCACGAGAATTCTCTAAGGCACGAACCTTATCAGAGGAAATTTGCAAGTCAGCCTGAGCCTGAGACAAGTTTTGAACTAGCTCTCCCGCGTACTCCTCTTTCTTGCTCAACAATACCTTAAGTTCTCTAATCTCTTCGCTTGACTTTGATAATTGTTCTGAAAAAGAACATTCAAGGCGCTCTTTATCCTTCTCAGCTTTACTAGAAGAAGCCTTGGCCCCCGCTAATTCAGAAGTCAGAATTTGCTTTTGCTGTTCCAGGTCACGGTTATTCTCTTGCAATTCTTTTATCTTTTTCTGAGCATTTTTAAACTGCTCTTTCCAATTGGTTGCCTCAAGCTGGGCTTCTCTAGCTATCCTCTCAGCCTCAAGAAAAGTCTGATCAGACTCGCGAGCCTTCTTTTCTAAGAGGGAAATTCTTCCCATCAATTCCGTACCAATGAGGTTAGCCTACAAAAACAACTCATGAAAGTTAGAATTAAAAAGAAAGAATTTATTAAAAAGTAAAGGGAGAGTACCTTCAATGTACAGTGAACTATATCATTCATCAAAGTTAGACAACTGTGACTGTCCATCTTCTTTTTCTCAATATCCCCAATTAAGGGTTCAAGCCAAACATCTGCTCTGCCAGACTTCCTTAAAAGACTGCTATTAGCAGGAACCTCAAGTGTTACACTCCTCATAGCCATGCTTCTGCTACTAGAACCCTCCTCTGCATAATGAGCAGAGGAAGGGGGAACTATAGAAGGAGGAACGGTAGAAGAGGTGAAAATAGTAGTAGTCGAAGGAGTCGAGGCAGGTAAGGGAGCAGAAATTGACAAAGAGGCAGGAACAAACAAAGTGGGTAAGGAAACACTTGAAATTAGAGGAGGAACAGAAAGAACAGGAACGGAAGATGAAAGAGGAATTTCATCTAAAACCGGACCTAATTCACCACTTTCGAAGCCCTCAATAAAGAGGCGATGAGTGGATTCAGGGGTGTCCCTTGGAATGGTTTCTTCATCAGAGGTAATAGTAACGGGTTCGGAGGTACGAGCAGGAGAGATTTCAGTTTCATCCTCAGAAACAATGCGCCTCCTGGTTCTAGGACGAGCTGTCAAAGAGGTATCTTCATCTTCATCAACGTCAGAATCCTCTTCAACCACTTTCCTCTTTGACAGCGTGGCTTGTGTTCTTTCCAAAGCAAGAGGAGTACTGGAAGAAGCTCGAAGGGTGATAGCTACTTCAGCCGACATCCCTCGAATAGCAAATCCTGACAATAAGAAGGATAAAAAGTTAAAAGAGGGGAAAAGAATTTAACACACGAGAAGCAAAAAGGGATGTATACCGTGAGTTTTCACTTTCCAACCATGTTTGTTGGAAATAGATTTCCAAGTTCGTGCCTCCATAGGCACGGCTTTCAAGACAGCATCTACCCAACCACGGAAATTAGGAACGGGTTCCACATCTCCCATGGTTGCTACAAAAAAGCAAAGGAATAATAATAAAATTAGAAGAGAAGTTGAAATAACGAAAGCAGATACGGCAAGGAAGAAAATACTTACGTGCAAAGTTCCATTTCTCAGGAAAAGGAATATTTGATTCACCCACCAAATCAATTGTGGGAACAGCAACAAACCGGGTGTACCAGCCACGGTCGTTATTATCTTCAGGGTTAACCAAAACCCTCTTACTTCTTGCAGTTAAGGTAAAAACACCATTGCGGAATAGCTTGGGGTGATAAAGATGAATTAGATGAGGGAAAGTAAAGTCAACATCAGCTTTGGTTGACATATACCTCAAACAAGCTACTGCTCTCCATACGAGGGGACCAACTTGAGCCAAACAAATTTTGAAAAAACGACAGAAATCAAGTATGACTGGGTCAATAGCAGGAATAAATCCCAAAGTAAAGGGATAAGTGTAAACGAAAGAAAAGCCAACCCTATAAGAAGATATTCTTTGGTGTGGGGTAGGAATAACTATGTGGGTGTCATCTCTCCAACGACAGTCTCTTCGAACAATTTGAATCAAAGGTTCAGTAATTAAAGAGGGATATTTATCAGCTCTCTCTAATTTAATCACTTGGTCACGAAGGGATTCTTTGTCATGTTCGAAAGATAAATCCGTTGGCACAATTTCTTCAACCAGAGGCTCTTGGTTAGACTCAGAAGGTTCTTTGCCCTTAGAAGAGGATCTGTTAGAAAGAGAGCCTCTAGAGATATTGCCAGAACTAGAAGAAGGAGTGATGGAACCAGAGGTACCACCACGAACCGACCCTGTACCACGAAGCACACCTCCTCTACCTCTTCTATGTCTAGCAGGAGCATTGGGGAAACTATCAAGAATTGGGACTCTTTTAGGGTTAGGATTCGAAGACGACATAGTGAGAAGATATGAACAGAAGGTATGAACTGAAGAAGAAGTGAACGAGAGTAAATAGCAAGAAATTTGGTAAAAAGCTTGTGAAGAAGAAGACAAAGGAAAAAGGGGGCAAGTTTATATATAAACTCAACCGTCGATAATTAAGAAGTGTAATGATGGAAAGCCTATAATAAAGGCAACTATCACTTCGTGAATAGTGGAGTTAAAGAAGCCTTAGAAAAAGGCTGCAAAATCGCAGAACTAATGAGAAGGTGACACGTATATAGTGCATTAAATAGAAGAGACAATTGAAGCGTCGACACTGTCATAGCATTGATTATGGCAAAAATTTCCTTTTTAATGAAGATCCACTTTCCAAATATTTAATTGATAAATAAATGAAAAGTGGGGGGACTATCTGTATAGGGAAAAAACTGAATTTATATTGAAGGTGACGTGGCATGACACGTGGACTGGTTAAATGGTCAAAACATGATGATCAGTTAAGAGGCACGGGCGATATCAGATACGAGGAGAAGAAAGTTAAAATAGGCACGAGATGCTATTCAAATGATACGAGTCTCGTATCTATTTAACTTAATTAAAGCCAGGAGGTCAGAAGGAATTGAAGATATGAATCTGATGGCATAAAGGAGTCTAAATTCAATATTAAATGTCAAATACGTTAGCGAATCAGTATTGAATAGGAATGATTGTGTAACATTTCATTTAATGTCATTTAATGCTCATAATTGCCTCTTTAAGGCTAAGGCATTATACCTTTTCCTAGAAAAATCAACTATAAAAGGAGGAGGTCTCAGCATTTGTAGGGACATGAAAAATCATTGAGATTACATTGAAATACAAACTTATTTACTGCTTTATTATCCTCAAAAATTTCTTATTCTTTTCGTCTCCTGATTATCAGTAACCCGATTTTTTCTCTTAATTTCTAGTTTTAACCGAAATTCTATTTTTTGGTTAAACAGTATTAAATATCGAAATTCCATCATCATGCCAATTAAACCATTTAACAGTGATCTGTGCTAATTGTGGAGTTGCCCTAATGATATACTAGCTTTTTTTATCAGTTAGAAGACATATTTTGCCGGTTAAATATTGATCTCATTTAGCTTCTCTGTAGAATCACTGAATTATACATGCTTAACTCATAGGAATACATCCCTTCGGGGATGGCCCAATTGGTTTGGAGGGGGGCTATCCCTATAGTTGACCTGAGATTGATCACCCCTCAATGCCTTCTGGGTCGAGCCTATCGTACACGGCTTGTCTAGTGCGATTTACATTCCCTGTGTGGTTTGCAGGTTATTACGTAATGGGAGTTTTACCCAATGCGCACATAGTGCTTACCCGAAGGGCAGAGAATATAGCGGATGCGAGTTTTTCTGGGGTTAAAAAAAAAAAACCTCATACGAATACATGAGAGTCAATCTCTTTGAACTTTGCTGCCCGATTAGAATTAAATATGATGGTTACGACATGGCAAACAACCACAGGAAGTTTGGGCAGATAAATGTGAGTTTTGCCTAGTCAACATCATCTTCCGTGCTTGGTCAGCCACTTTTTCTATTTGTTCCTTGTGTTGAATCTGAGCTGTAGTTCTCCATTCTTCAGCTTTTCTGTGAACAACCGCCATTCTTTTCATTAATTTCTCTTCCAGATTTGATCTCATCCTCTGGATTTTCACCTGAAATGGGAACCAAATGCTATGTTAGAACACAATAGCCGGTCAGATTCAATGTTTACTTTTTCTAGCCGATATACATAAATTATATAAATTATACACCCGCCAGCTATATTTAGTTTAAGAGATTAGGTGGCTGGCTATCGTCTAAATGAGGAATTTTTTAGGGAATCAAGAAGGAAAAGGGGGAACACAGGGGCCTGTATTTGAATTTAGAACTAATAACATTACAATGAACGAGGAATATTTAATTACTTTATCAAGCATGAAATCCTAAAGCTCAAGGTAACACAACAAAATCTTATCTTCACATGGGTTTGCAACTTCCAGAACCAAGTTGTCATGCATGAAGATATAATAATGTGTTAATGCTGACTAATCTGCTATTCTATTCCTTCTTGCATGTGAAAAAAATTAAATTATAAGCAGCTGCATAGAGGGAAGAGGAGACAACACTCAATACGATATATGTTGGACCACGAAATAAGAGTGAAAGGCTCGATGTGTATGAAGACAACACAAGACTGATAAATTCTTTCCAGCTCGTCAACATTGTGCAGCTACTCTTTGGGAACTGTATTTAGTTATATTCTTCTATGTGACGCCCAAGAAGAAGGCCTAGCAAACTTTCATACTGGCAAGCTTTTGAAGAAGATATGTATATTTAGGCAAATCGCACGTCAAAAAAGGAGAGAAGTAAAGTGCTGTATAAGATTGAGTACAAGTTCAAATGGTACGTGCGATTTTCGAGTCAATGTGGAGTAGCCCAAGGAATAAATTCGTGAGGTGTGTTAGGCTAAAACAGACAGTACGTACCATGGATTTTGGGTTGTGACATATTGTAGGATAGAAAAGAATTTCAAATGAACAATAATCAATCATCCCAGCACAAGTTCATATTTTCCACCTCTAGTTCCTGCTATAAAGGTAATGAAAGCAGTTCTAGCATTGAAATTCTACGGTGCAGGGTTAGAGAAGAGTAAAAAGGGCAGCCCGGTGCACTAAGCTTCCGCTATGCGCGGGGTGCGGGGAAGGGCCGGACCACAAGGGTCTATTGAACGCGACCTTACCCTGCATTTTTGCAAGAGGCTGTTTCCACGTCTTGAACCCGTGACCTTCTGATCACATGGCAGCAACTTTACCGGTTACGCCAAGGCTCCTCTTCCAGAGTACGAAATAAATTAATACCTCAAGTTTTTTTGATTGAGCTTCTGCTTTTGCATTTTGGAGGTTTATCCAGGCCTGAATTTTTGCTTCTTCTCTTTGATACCTGCAACTCAAATAAAATTTATAACTTGTACACTCTAAGTACAAATTAAAAGAGAAGTGGGCACAGCAAAATTCACTCACCTGAGGCAGCATTTATTCTTCTCTTCTTCTTCCCACGATCGCATTTTGGACTCTGAGACACTCTTTCTGCATTCATTATTTATCTCAAAATGTCTCAAACTCTTCGATATATCCTCCTCCTCTTCTTCCCTCGAACTCCAATTAGTCGTAACAGAGTCAAATTGTGTCCCGAACTGCAATTTTGCTAAATGACACTCTTGCAATTGCATTATATCAACTGTGCTATCAGAACCAGAACTTGGTAAAGCCAATGGTCCAGATCTATCTGCAGGGGTATTGTGTCGAGCAGGTGACGGGCTCTTGAATGGAGTGTGACATCTTGAAGTAGTAGAGCTGCCAATTGGAGTCATTTCTGTGCCAATATCTCTGTGATTAATCTCATGAATTACCTCTGTTGTTGCTTCTTTCATGGATTTTCCTGCCCCATTTCCGAACAAAAATCCTTCTTTTGTAGGTTCTAAGTACCTAAATTTGGGATAAATAGATTCCACCTCATCTGTGAACTTATCTGCAATTACAAAACCATTGGATTTTCTTCAACATACACCATAATATTCATAAAGTTGTTTCCTTTTATCAGTCCTAAATTTTACCAAAATGTAAATCAATGCTCCGTATTACAATTTTGTCCATTATTTCAAATTCAACTTTGAAACAATGAATTTGAAGTTGAAATACTGGTTTGATGAGTATTTCAAGTGAACATTTGGTTTTCACTCACAAAATTTCAACATTTTTATCAAATCAAATTCATGTCCAAACATAATGTTAACTTCTAAATGCTCTTCAACTTTAAATGAGTATTATTTTTTCAACTTTAACCAAATATTGTCCAAAATGGGCCCATAGTGCAAAATTGGTGTACAACAACAATAATAATAAAAACAACACATTAAAATGGCATAAGTGGGGTTTGGGGAAAATTCCACGAGGGGCTGATTCCATTAGACCTCGGCTCAAGAAAACGAAAAGAGTTTGTGTATAGCATGGGATTTAACTAGATTAAGCTTTTAAACGTTTATTTAAATTGATGGTACAAAATTAAAGTTACCACCCAATTGTTTCTCAAAAACAATACTAGAAGAAATACAACTACAATGGGTAGTAAAGCGAAGGGTTAAAAAGCAGGCTTTTTTACCTTTTAGAAAAACATCTGCTGCAGAAGAAACAGTATTGGAAGCTCCGGCAGAAATGCGGTGATGGTTTAAAGGTAAAGAAACCTGAAAATCTGAAGCCACTTTTGATACCTTTTCATCAATAACTCTGTTTTTTTCTGCAAACACATTTTCAGCTTCTTTTAGCTTGAACCCATTATTACACTGCTTTGACAATTTTGAAGATTCTAATGTTGGCTTTAAGCCATAATGTTGATGATGATGAGAAGCAGGGCTTCCATTTACAAGCCATTTCTCTGCATCATCCCATTTTGAAGGAAAATTCTTTCTTGGAAAATTCCCAACACTGAAGCTGAAAATGGGTCGACCCGGTGTTGATGGAGCATCCATATTCCTCCTTATCACTGAACTTACTCCTCCTTCCTTCCTTATAAACCCTCTGCTTTCAACTCCATTATTGCTTGCTGTTGGCAATGATTTTACAAAATCAGAAGTCTCCTTTAGATTAAGTTTACAAAGCGGGTCAGGAAAATTATCCAAAAATGGGTTCCCATTGTTCCCTTCTAATATTGCTTCCTACAATAAAACAAAAACAAGAATCAGTAACAACAACAACAACAACAACAAAATCCCATTTAGATAAACTTATTCAAGAACAACAATAGTGTAATCCCACCAATGGGTCTGGGGAGGTAGGATGTACGCAGCCTTACCCCTACCCTCGAAGGGTAGAGAGACAGTTTCCGATAGACCCTTGGCTAAAGAAGATGAAAGAAGCCCCAATAGCAAGACAATATATTTAGAAAACTAAATAGAAGATAGCAATAAATAAAGAAGATAAAATTATTCAAGAACATAAAAGAAACAGTTTTACCCCTTGAGATGGAAACAGAGGTGGAGGTTCACAGTAGTTAAGATCCATAAATGCCAGCTCAAGTATGGACTATATTTTAGCCGTGAAATTTTAGGAAGAAATTTTATATGTTTTGCCAATATTAAAGATTGGTGTAGAGTACAAAGAGGTGATTTTGCTGAAACAGGGAACAGTAATAACTCATGCCAATGCTAAAGGAAGCAAGAAGCACTCTTCAAAATTTGCCATAACATGCAATTGGACTGGCAGGTGAAGACAAACCATATACAAATACGAAGGGTTCACCCTTTCAGCTGCTTCAACTGATGGGAAAATGAAACAAGAGTGTAATAGTCCTAGTTTCTAGTGAAGACAAGGAAGAAAACAAACAAATTGTACTTAAAGAAATGGGAGATGCTTTGGGAGACGAGAAAAGTTCGTCAAAAGTTGCTAAATGGATGGATTATCAAATCATGCATACTTTATTAAGGATAAGTTATACATAATGGCCATCTAACATCTTGTTTGAATGGTTGTTACCTGTATTATATTGTATTGTTATTTTAAATGCAATATTATCTTGAATGTTATTTATATTTTATTACTTTCTTCGTTTCAATCGTACGTGAACCTATTTCTTTTTTAGTTCGTGCCAAAAAGAGTGACCACTTTTCATATTTGAAAATAATTTATCTTTATGCAATGTAGTCACACAAAATATATGTGGGATTTCTACACAAATGGCCGGTCATATATACACATATAATACATAAATTATGTATATATTATATATTCACCGGTTGTTTTTAGTCTAAGTGGTAGGGTGCTATTTGGGTTAATTCTTCAAATATATGTGCATCATTTTACACCACAGATTCAAAAGTATTTCCTTTTTCTTAAACTCCGTGATCAGTCAAATAGATTCACAAAAATTCAAACAGAGAGAGTATATGTATACAATAAAAACCGTGTTTCGTAATGATGAAAAGTTGTAATGACCAATTTGATATGATCACGTCGTTATATTTTATTCTCTTTTGTTCTTAATATTATCTACCCTTTTCATAATAGTTCTACCTTGCGCTTTACTTTTTTTCTCCAAATTCTTGGTGTATGACATTATGAAACAACGGAAAACGATACAATCTATCCAAATATTGTATTTATTAAAATAATATAGTACAGTACAATACGATACATTATGAAATGTTACACAATAACTACCCAAATAAGCTGTGAAATTTTTTGTTCCATCCTTTAATAGGTTATTGTTATATTTTTCAGATTATCATGTCAAGTTGGTATAAAGCGTTATAATCTGATAGTATAAAAATTTATCATGTGAACTTTTTTAAAGTAAATTTTAATCTAAACTCTATATTTTTCTTAATTTTTTTATGTAAAATATACAAATGATAATTTAGTACCCGATAATTCAAAAGTGTTAAATTTTTGAACAGTATAATTTTTTTACTATTGGATCATTTAAAAACAATTACATCCATGATCCAACAAACTAAAAGAAGTAAAACAATAACGTAGAAAATAAGATAAATTGTAGTATGTTACAACATATAAAAGCATTGATTGATAATATAAAAAGTTCTCTATGATGTATACAGAGTTAATTATTTTTTTAATGTGTGAAAAGTTGGGAAGCTTCTTTTAAGGTTATTGATAATGTTATTGAAGCCCGTTTGTAGGGTGGTTTCATGCCCCTAAGAATGAATAATTAAAGGTTATTAATGAATGCTTTGTAACCCTAGTGCCAAGCAAAACTTTTGTCTGTCTTTGAGGAATGCCTCATTAGGCGTAAATATTAAGATTATCCAATTCCACGTGATAATGTTTAGTACGTTCACCTAATTACTAAAACTGCAAGAGTACTGTTTTAGTAACCAAAAGTTGAAGAGAATGTCGGGGCCCCCCTTGGTTCTTGTCATCGCTTTCCAGTTTATTGTGCAAACCTATATTAGAGGATGAGCTGGCACTTTGTTTCTAGGTCTCGACTTTTACTCCATCCCTGTCAAATTATATGTCTTGATTTTAAAAAATAGTTATCCTTATTACGAATAGAATTGTACTCAGTGAGAGTATCTATCTTTTTGAGAGTTGTTATCTTGTGGCTAAGTTATTATTCTCCCTATAAATAGAGGGGTTTTAAGAAGCTCTCTGAAAAGATTAAGGTGTAGCTTTTCTCCTCTTTTAATTAAGACTGATATTATAAAAAGAAAGTTCGTTGCCCTTGAAATTTTCGGCAAGAATTAACAGATTCGCACGACAGGAATTCAAAAATATGAAGTTTTTCCTAAAAGGTTCTGCAGCCTCCCGAGGATAAGTACACACGTTTCCGTACCGATCCACGAGACTCTACTAAACCCGCTCATGACTCGTGAGACCTATGTAACCTAGGCTCTGATACCAACTTGTCACGATCCTAAAACTGATCCGGTCGTGATGGCGCCTATCGTGAAACTAGGCCAGCCGACACAAACCCAAAACCAACCAGAAAATCATAAAAGTCAATTTAAGTCATTAATTAACTAAAATCCCATAGTATAAGTCTAAATAACCAGTGCGGAAGAAAAAATAATACAAGCCCGACATCGTGGTGTCACAAGTCACGAGCAACTACAACTCGGTCTCAATACTATAAAGTCTAACAAAGTCTGGAAGACAAAACTAACTAAATCTAGGGAAGATATGAGTGTGATGATCCAAAAGGTCATCACTTGTTTTAGAAACCAATTCAGTGTCCCGAGGCCTAAAAATCTCCTTTTTACCTTACCTCGATTTGCGTACGTGGTCCGGACCTATATCTGGAAAGCCTTCTATGTGAAAATATGAGAAAGAGAAATCTATAGAGTTAAAATTTGATTATGGTTGACTTTAGTCAACATTTTGGGTAACGGACCCAGACATGTGATATGACGGTCCCGGAGGGCACGTAGGAAAATATGGGACTTGGGCGCATGCCCGGAATCGAATTCCGAGGTCCCAAACCCGAGAAATAAATTTTTTAGGAAAGTTATTTTCTGGAAAATATATGAGTTTTTAGAAATGAGATGTGTTTGAAATTTGATGGTATCGGGCCCGCATTTTGGTTCCGGAGCCCGGTACAGGTCTTATATTGGTTTAAATTAAGTCTGTGAAATTTGGTAAGAAACGGACTTGAAATGACGTGAATCGGACCTTATTTGAGAAAAATTGGAAAATTTGATGTTCTTAAGTGATTTTATGATTTTGATGCTAAATTCATAATTGTTGATGTTATTTTGGTGATTTGAATGCACGAACAAGTCCGTATGATATTTTTAGGTTGGGGTGCATGTTTGGTTTGGAGCCCCGAGGGTTCGGGTGAGTTTTGGATAGGCAACGGAGTGAAATTTGGACTTAGGATGTTGCAGATTTTAACTGGTATATTGCATGCCTGCAGGCTTCGCATTTGCGAAGCTTGGCTCGCAAATGCGAGCTCACAAATGCGAAGGCTATGTCGCAAATGCGAAAGAGCCCAGGCCAGCATTACCTCGCAAATGTGAGGTACCCATCGCAAATGCGATGCCTCCAGTTGTATCCTTAGTCGCAAAATGCGACTCTTCTATCGCAAATGCGATTTCGCATTTCCGAAAGGTCTATTGCAAATGCGAAGAAGACCGGAAATCTGACTTGGTCGCAAATGCGATATTTTATTCGCAAATGCAAAAGTCTCAGAATTCTGAAGGGTTCGCAATTGCGACATTAGAGACCTGCAAATTCATAACTTAGACGCATTTTAACCATTTTTCACACTCTTTCAAAACCAAAACACTCTTGGGCGATTTTTCAAAGGCAATTTCTTCTCCAAATCAATTGTAAGTTGTTTCTAACTCGTTTTCTTCAATCTTTAACATCTTTTCATATGATTTCAACTCAAAATCAAAGGTGGGGGAAATTGAGTGTTTTGGGTAGAACCTAGGCTTTTCAAATTTTGGGGATTTGGACCTCGTTTTGAGGTTCGATTTAAAAACAAATTGTATATTTGAGTTCGTGGGTGAATGGGTAATCGGGTTTTGGTTCAAACCTCGGGTTTTGACCATGTGGGCCCGGGGTCGATTTTTGACTTTTTGGGAACTTTAGGAAACTTATTTCGAGGCATCGAGGTACGTGTTTGGTCTAACATTAGCTTGAGGGATTAGGAGTCGTGTCCTATTTGCTATGTGTTATTTGTTGAGTACGACGTATAGGCATGGTGACGAGTATCTATACGTGGGTGTCAGGCATGGCCGTGAGTCTTATATTATGATTATTATGACTCCGTTTGTATTGTTTATGCCCTTTGTAATGATTTCTATCGTTGGGAAAAGTTTGTGGTAGAAATGGTAATATTTGAACATTGAGGAGCGTTGCCTCAAGTTGTGAGGTGAATTGTGAAAGAAAAATTGGCAATTAAACCTTGTAGAGAATTGGCTCAAATTATGAACCGAGTTGTGAAATAAATGTGAAAAAGAGAAGAGGATTATAATATTGTTCCCTTGCCGGGATGTTGTTGCTTTGCTATTGTTCCCTTGCCGGGATTTTATTGTGATTCATTTATTTCCTTGCCCTCATTGTTTGTGATTGTTGTTTGGGTGAGGAAGAGTGTAAAGCACGAAGGGTGATGCCGTGCATTGTTTTGGTGAGAGAGTGTTAAAGCACGAAGGGTGATGCCGTGTATAAATGTTGTGAGGAGGAGTGTAAGCACGAAGGGTGATGCCGTGCCGAACGTTGTACCATTCCGTGCCGATTATATTGATTTTTGGTGAGGATGAGAGTAAAAGCACGAAGGGTGATGCCGTGCAGTTTATATTGATTTATATGATGAGGATGAGAGTAAAAGCACGAAGGGTGATACCGTGCACTTGTTTGATTTCTGATTCTCGTTGAAAATTGAGTTATGGTATTCCTTGTGTTTACCTGCTGATTTCCTGTTATCGTTTGTTCTTTCCCCGCAGCATGTTTCCCCCTCCCATCCTTACTGTACATTTCTGCTTTATTTTTCCGTTGTATATGATTTAACTGCATAGGTTTATTTTGGTAGTCTGGTCCTAGCCTCGTCACTACTTCGTCGGGGTTAGGCTAGGCACTTACCAGCACATGGGGTCGGTTGTGCTGATACTACAATCTGCACTCTTTTGTGCAGATCCCAGTGCTGTAGATTTTGGACCGCAGTGAGATAGCTATTTCGCGTTCATCAGGCGACCCGAGGTAGACCTGCAGGCATCCGCAGGCCTTGGCGTCTCCTTCTAGCTATTATTCCTGTTTCTTCTTATATTTCCAGAGACAGTTTGTATTATTTCTTTCAGACCTTTATTTGTAGTTCTCTTAGATAGTCTGTGAAGTTGTGACACCAGCCTTGGGTAGATTGTTATGGATTGTCGTTGGTGGCGTCATTAAAACTTGCAATTTAGTCTTCCGCTTATTAAATTATGTTGCTTATTAATTGTTGGA